GTTAACGTACCAAAATCGCATGTGCATTGATGTGAATGTTTTTTTGTAAAAATTTTCTTCTGTAGATTTGTAAAAAAAAAAATGAAAAAACTGTAAAATTGTAAAATTTTTTGTAAAAATTGTAAAATTTCAAAAAATTATAAAATTGTAAAAAAAATTGTAAAGAAAAATTGTGAAAAAAATTTTCTTTGCAAAAATTATAGGGTGTATTTAATAATTTAGGGTTTTTAATGCATCAGAAAAGACCAGTAATTAGCCAGTTCCAAGTGACCAGTGACCAGTCTGAAAAATTTTTAATGTAAAACATACAGCAAGTTGTATTTTTAGCGACCGGTCATTTGGTTGATGATCTGGTGAATCGCAAAAAAATCAAACTTATTTATGCACGGATATTTGCCACAGCCTCAGGTCTTATAGTTCCGGCACTTCTCCTAATTGCTTTCGCTTCTGTCAAAAATCTCTTTCTGGCGATCTTGTAAGTTCACATTAAGTATTTTGCGTTGAATAGTTACTTATCGTTTTGGCTATCTGTTCATCCCCGACAAGTTGGCAAAATGAGATGATAAACACGCAGAATGTTCATGGAAGAAATAAATATTTCAGTTGGGTTTTCTCCTTACTTTTTTTTCAAAAATCTCAGATTTCCTTTGACCCCAAATTCACGGCTTCTTGTAGTTACATATAATAATGCCCAGATCATCTCGGTACATTACAACATTTGTCAGTGTCTTTTTTTTGCTCAAAAAATACGAAATTATAGAATTGCATTTACTTTTGATGTTTTAATCGAATGTTTATCATCCATACATCATATTTTTTCTATAATATATATAGAAATACTTCCACTTTCTGATGCACTAATTGGAATATTTGGAAAAATGCCAAAAGCGGAACGCCGATGGAAAAAAAAATTGTTGCTGCATAAAGGGAATTTTGGATTAATTGACCATTCCAATCATACCACGTAGAAAAGTAACGCAAAAAAGGCAAATACTTCTGGACGCCATCCTTTGAGCATTCCCTTTTGGGCGGGAAAAAGTCCTGAACTTGGTTTTTTTTAATGCTATTTTATGTGTTTTTGTTCCAGATTGGTCTCGTTGAGTATGGGCACATTGGCACTAAATTCAGCCGGTCATTTGAGCAATCATGCGGACGTTGCGCCCAAATATGCTGGTATAACATTCGCCATATCAAACACTATCGTAAGCATTTTTTACTGTTGCGTTCTCCGGATTGCACAACAAGAATTGCTTAGGCTAGGATGTGAAGATATGGGAAGATACCTTTTTTTTGCCCTTACTTTTTGGCATGGAGATCTTTGATCAGCTGTGGTTTTCTACCAGTGTTGTTAGTTTTCTAATCAGTGTTCCACCACCAACTATTCGTTAGCCTGCTGATGATTCTGCGCGTTCGTTTCGTCTACTAAAGGATTGAGTTCAGAACAGGACTGATATGCCGCTATACCCGTGAATTTTTTGGTCTTAGATACACAAGAAGTACATTAATAGTTTTCCGGCAGGCTTGTAGCTAAAAAGAGAATGCTGAAAAAAAATGTTTATCGAAGAGAATGCTGAAATTGAATTAAATGGCGGCAAATTTTGGCGTTTGGCTTGGGTTTGACTTTGGGCCACCCCGATAGGTATTAAAATCAATCCAGAAAAATGTCATATTTCACCAAAAAACGCGGTAAATTGGTTCGGAACTTCGCGTCAAACGCTAAAAAAATCATCCTTAACAAAACAGAGTATCATGATTTAGGGAACTGAAATTTTTCCTCTGTGTTTTGTCATTTGCTTGATACATCAGTTCTGTTCTCTCCCAGAAATTGGCAATTGCAGGCTACATTACCCGGACTTACCGTAGGTCCACTAACAGCACGACTGGTGGTGGAATCATCGGGACGCTGGTGGCCAGCATTTATCCTGGCTGGAGCACTAAATTTCGTCGGTGCAGCTGTTTATGCAAATTATGCTACGGTCAAACAGGTGATCTGAAGAATCATGATTTGCTTATTATAGTGATTTTGAAATCAGAATCATTTCTGTACAAAAGTGGTGTTCTTCTTTTAAAAGCATTGTTGGAAAAACGTGAGATTCATGGGAATGCTTGAAAAGAAACCTTTTTAGGCCGCTAGAATGAGCAAAATAGGCTTCGTTTAAGACTTCCTGGGCTCCTGTATGACATAGGAGCAAGAATAGGTGTATTGTCGTACTGAACTTGAGTACCACTTCCTAAGGGTGCCCGGTTTTTTAAGATTTATTCATTAGTATCTACGACAGATTGGTGCTACTGTATGTCAAAAAATCAGCCTGCTCCATAGACGGATCCAGGACAGACTCCTGAAGGGGAGAGGAGGTGGGG